AGAGATGACTCAGTGGTTAAGAGCACTGACTGCTCTTGCAGAGGACCCGGGTTCGATTCTCAGCACCCACATGGTGGCTTTGAACCGTCCTTAACTCCAGTTCCAAGGGAATCTGAAGCCCTCTTCTGACCTGTGCGGCATTGCACGACAGGTGCACTCACTTACATGCAGGTAATACACTCATACACATAAAAAAAAAATACATATATATATATATATATGGCCAAACAGTTGCTGAAAACTGCTAGGTAATTATTTCATATAGTAAAAAGGTATCTATATATACAGTATTTTCTAATTAAAAATTTCTAGATAATGTATTCTTGAACTTTGATAATATAATGTTGATTAATATTTCCACATTTTAAAAAATACACAAAATTAATTTTTAATTTATCTGCATAGAAGGATATTACATATCCCTCTAAGGTTTTCCTTTTTGAGACAGGGTCTCCCTGTAACCCCAGCTTGTCTGAAACTCACTATGCACACCAGGCTGGCATCCATCTTGGAGTGATCCACTAGCTTCTGCCTCCTGAGTGCTGGGATTAAAGGCGTGTGCTGCCATACTTGGCCCCCAGGATCTCTTTAAATCAAGGTGATAATTTACTTAGAAGGCAGTTATGCTCTCTACTAAACCAACGCACATCATAATTTACTTGGAATGCTAAATAATTTTAAATTCTGACTCCAGAATGTTTCATTTAAAAAATTAAGTTAATTTTGCCATGCATGGTGGTGCATAGGCCTTTGATCCGGCACTTGGGAGACAGAAGCAGGCAGATCTCTGTGAGTTCAAGGCCAGCCTGGTCTACACATTGAGTTCCAGGCCAGCTGGGGCTTTAGGGAAACCCTTTTACAAAAAGACCAAAAAGAAAAAAAATTAAGTTAATTTTATTATAAATATATATAAAGTTAATTACAGAAATGAAGTATGATCAGAAAGTTGGCTTAATATATTACATGGTGGCTAGCAACTGTCCCTAACTCCAGTTCCAGGGGCTCTGATACCCTCTTCTGACCTTCAAAGGCATTGCACAACACTGGTATACTTACATACATGCCAAAAATATACTCATACACATAAAATTTTTAAAAATAAATAAAAGGAAGAAAATTATTTGTCATAATGAAATGTGTTTAGATGTGGATACCATTTTTTAGTAGCATCTTTAGACAATATACAGTCTGTTGACAATTTCTCTTTGTTGCGGAAAGAACTATTTTTTTTCACAGTTTACTATTTCTTTTCCCAGGAAATTGGATAGACTTGAAAAGAAAAAAAAGAAAAAGAAAAGGGATAAGAAAAAGAAAAAGTTACAAAAGAGCAGAAGTAAACACAAAAAACATAAAAACAAATCCTCCTCCTCCCCTTCCTCCTCCTCATCCACCTCCTCCTCCCCCTCTTCCTCCTCCTCCTTCTCTGACACTTCAGAAAGCAGCAGTGAGAGTGATGACAAAGAAAAGAAAAGAGAGAAGAAGAAGAAGAAAAAGAACAGATGTTCAAGAATTAGCACCAGAGACTCTGAGGAGGAGAAGTCTAAGAAGAGAAGACTTCGTGAAGAACTTTCTAACAGTCATAGTAACAAAGAAAAAGCCCAGGAAAAATTGAAACAAGAGTGTTCTAGGGAGAAGAGTAAATGGGGCCATTCTGGCTCTGACAAAAAGTCCAGAAGCTACAATCAGAGCCCAGAGAAGAAAGGCTCTGATAGACATCGGGGAATCCGAAGCCACTGCAGGACAGAGAGCAGCAGGAGGAGCCGGAGCAGAAGTCCTGCTAGTCACAAGCAAAGAGAGAGAAGGGCTTGGCCACAGCGGAGTCCCAGTGAAGAGTGGAATGGAAAGAATGACAGCAGAAGCCAGGGTACTGATGGCTGCAGAAGAGAGTGCACAGTGAGCATTCGGAGATGAGCACACTGTGGGCACGGGGAGAGGAAAACAGTAGAGGTGGACTGGAGAGAGCTTTGTTCACCATTCAGCACCTCCATTTTCTTACTGCATTTCTTTAGCAAGGGCTAACTTGCATATTGCCTCTCTAATAAAAAAAACCCTCTTAATTTTCCATCTGTGTATACTGTCACTTCAAGTACAAAACTACAAGTACCACGACATTGAAGTTGGCAAATATTTAGAAAATCTACTCTAGGGTGTAGAAATATTTTTTGTGTTGGTAACTGTTTCCTGTGCCCTGTACTAGATTAAAACAAAACAAACATAATTCTGTGAACTTTATTTTTGTTCTGAAACATTAAAACATGGACAGTACATTGAGGTTGTACATTCAGATTTGTTACTTTAAGATTTGAATTTCCTTAAAGAAAAAAGTAATTGTTGAAATCCCCTAGGGTGAATAAAACTGGATATTGACGTCTTTAAGATGCTTGTTCTACAGTGTGCTATTTACATTTGAATACCATACACTTAACATGATGTATTAACAGTTCTGTAAATCAGAACTCTGGCCCAGGTACCACAAGAGTAAAATGCAGATGTGGGCAGAAGCATCTTCCTTCTGCAACTGCTATGCTGCCCATAGTCTTGGCTCCTGCCCCCTTTTCCATGATTCAAAGCTAACAGAGGAATCAAGTCTTGCTCACATCTAACCACTTTAACACTTTAATATTCTGCATTCCTCGGTCCCTGGTGATTACACTGGGCCCACATGAATGTAGGATAATTTCCCTATTTTAAGAACCTTAATTCTATCAATACCTGTAAATCTCGTTTTCCATATAATATAACATTCGCAGATTCCAGGGGTTAAGAACGTGTATCTTAAAGGGGTGGGGAGTATTATTCTGCCTGCCAGAGGAGCCTTTCTATTATTGGCATATAGTACAAGACTTCTTCAAAAGAGGAAGCATTTATATTACAGTACACAGTGAAACAATATAAACTAGATATATAAAGTGGTGGGGTTTGGGGAGGGCTGTTGTGGTTTTGTTCTTGAGACAGATTCTCACTATTTCTATTTAGCCCTGGTTGGCCTTGAACTCACAGAATGCCTCAAGGTACCTGACCAACATATAAAGTGTTTTAAAATTTAGCTGCAGATTTTCCTTGTGTTCCAAAGGATTAGTTAGGAAAACTACAGAAGAATGTAGTACAAATTACAAGTAACATACAGTTCCAAAATTTTTCTTATCATAGATAACATAGTATTTTTATTAGGTTAAAATGTAGTATAAGAATATGTATGGTTTTGATAGCAGTTCTGTAAGAAAATAAACTTGAAAGAGTTCAAACTAGTACATGTCTGATATTTGTGCACACACAAACCAGATGCCCTCCAATTTAAAAGAAGCTAAGTTAAAGATGTAAATAACCCTTTGATTGTTCATATTAAGAAAATTGGAGAGGGAGAGGAACTGAATTCCTTCCACACATTCTTTAATAACTTACTGTGCACCTCAAAGATCCATTCCTTCCTCACTTAAAAGAGCATGCATTTGAAATTTATAGACTGCTAATTTACACCTTGAGTTCATCAGTGTTGCAGTGATTATTTTCTACCTTACACCTTTTTAGACTTTATAATTTTTATAATGTCAAAACCTATGCAATACTTACTGCCTTAAAAAGGGTTTCCCAACCAATATGGTGTTCATGAAGAAAAATGTTGAAATGCATCCTATAATTAAGAATGAATTAAATATTTCTTACACTTTCACCGAAGTGTGACCCCCCCCTTTAACTTTGTAAGGTAGCCCTAAGATTTTTAAATCTCTTGATTTAATCCCTTATTTTGAAGTTGTTAAACCATAAGGTGCTATTTTTAAAAGTGTTAATCTTACCCAATTCTGAGAAAAATCCCTGTGTGGTTATAGAAGATGGTAATCTGTTGTTTGGTTTTCAGCCTTGGTCATCCAGAAATGCTAGACAGCCCCAATGGGCTAGCATTCTAACTTCCTAAACTTAAAAATGGAAGAGTAGATGTTCTCACACGATGATAACAGACAGCCTTTGAGAGCCTCACTTTATGTATCTATATGCTGATGATACTGGGGGATGGGATCAGAATAAAAATTTTAAGTCATCTAGTAAAGGCAGAAAGCCAAGGAAGAATCCTCCAGCTATAGTGAATCTAACCAAAGTTCTCAATAGTGGTGACATTTTCCAGAAATCCATACTGATGAAATTTGTCATTCTTCTTGAGCTTAATAGAGAATTTATTCTAAAGAAATCTGGGTATATCTAAACATTCCTTACTTATCCACAGGTCTGGAACTGTACCAAGACGGATAGGACAAATTGGAGGGACATATTCCCCCTAGCTTAACATTTAACACACACTGGCAAATTAAATCCTGTAGGAGGTGCTGTCGATTTACAAATGACCAGGAAGGATCAGGTTGTTAGGTTAGGGTTTGTTTATCTGGACGTCTATATAGTAGATTAGTCATAATTTCTTTTAATCCCCAGATCAGCAGAGGTTGCTGCAGCATAGCGGCAGGCCTGCTTACACTGCAGTGTAGACTGGATCTGGCTTTGGATCACAGCTGTAGTCTGTAGAAAGCTTTTTATCAAAAGGTTGGAGAAATCTTTCTGGCTATTTTCTTCCATGAGGCCGCTGCGGATAGTGAAATCAGTTCGGCTGCTGGGGCAAGCATTTCCGCAGTTTTAATGACCCAACATTCAGTTTGCTTTAGCCTTGGAGCCCCGAGTTCGAAATCCACCCCCTGCTTAAGACTAAGAAGCAGGCCAAAAAGATTTTTTTTTTTTTTACATCTCATTTAGGTTTTCTGAAAAGATAGATCTTACTATAGTTACCACTTACTGAAAAGTGTTAGTAGGCATGCAGTAGCGGCAGACTTTGGGAGCATTTTCAGGTCAAAGATAATGCTTTCTTAAAAGTTTTGAGGGGCAAATAAATCGAGAGAGCGGAGGTTTGGGAAAAGGCGCTGACAGCCGAGCTTTCCTGACTTGAAGCTCCTACAGCCTGGTTCCGGCTAGCAGAAAAGGAAGCAGATAGTTCTTGCCACCTTCTCTTCCTCCTGCTTCACTCCACATTTAGACCTCAGACCGTACCCCATCCCAGAAAGTAATCAAGTAGCGAGGTGAAGGAGGAGACGCGGTCTGCTTAGACTGGAAAAGTATTGGGGGCGAAGTGCCCCAGAGCCGCCCTTGGTGACTCAGAGACATCTAAGGCTCTGGCCTGCTGCAGCGGCTTCGGAGGAGCGGGCCTTGGCCTCCGGCACCCGCCAGACCCCAGCGTACCAAACGAAGCGGAGATCGCGGGCGCGTGCTAGGATGCGTCCGCCCGGTGCGGTCCACAGAGGCCACTCCACCTGCAGTCTCCGCGGCCTTCCTGAGGACTCGACCTGGCACTCGTGGAACTCAGCACAGAGAAAGGCTGGGAGGGAGAGCACACCCTCCAGGCGCCTGCGGTGCAAGGAGGTTCGCCGGACTTCCCAGAACCATGCGTTGTGGGAAAGGGTCAGGTTAGCTCTTTGCAGGGGTCCCAGGCTCATGGGGACCAGCGGTGACCCAAACTCAGAAGAAACGACGCGAGGCTGCAGGCCAGGAGAGCCGCTCCCTGGAGCTCGGCGTTCGCGGGCGGCTGGGGGTTCCAGCAGGAGCTCTCCTGGCCTCCCGCATGGTTTTCCGCTTGCCGGCGCAGGGCGCACTCGCCCGCCGTGGTCAGGAAGGCAAGAGAATTTCCCCGCTGGCCTCGGCTCCACAGGTGAAGAAGGCGCTTTAGGAAGCCTAGGCTAATCTCTAGTTCCTGGGGCAAGACAGAAAATACCAACACCCAGTAGCAGTCTTTGAGACGAAAACGGACGGATGGAGTCACAATCTATCACTTTATATTTCTTTCATAAATGAATACCCCCAAATTGTAAAAGCCTGCAGAACAATGCAAAATCCCCCAGTGTCTAGATGAACCCGACAGCTCAGGTGCTAAGCTTTCCCGGGTCCCTAAACACAAACCCCGGAGGACGCATCCCCACGGACATTCGCAAACCTCTTTAAATGGAGTGTCAAACATCCTGTATATATTTACACCAATAATATATGGGGAGGCATGTCTATGTATTTACCTCATACATATTTCTATAAACTCCAGCATCTGGTAAGGGTGGGGGGTAAATAACACTGAACGGTTAAAATTATGGAGAAGGGATAATAACTGATTACTAATTTGAAAGTAAATAAACAGGTGACTTTTTCAGATCAAATTCCTCCTTGGATCGTTACAATAAATATCTCTGAAGGAAGCTCTCTATTTATGTTGTCATTGATTAATTCTTCACTACCTCATTTGATTTCGATTTAGAACGATTTGATTCTAATTTAATTAGCATGTAATTTGGATGTACATAATTACTGTAATTATGACATTCAGGTAAGGCAGCTTTAGGCTGAAAGGCAATTTCAAATTTTCTAGCAACCTACTTTGTACTGGGAAATGGACAAGGACTTTGCGCCCTGCTATCCAAGTAGCAATTAGCACATCTTTGAAATAGGCAGTGCGGCGGGGTTTGTACTAAAACAGCAAATACAAACCCAGTCGAGTACCCACTACAAAGGTGGCTGTGAGTTCCCGGAAACGCGCTGCGTTTCCCTGGCGTGAATTCGCGGAGCCCGGTACCCCGGTGCCTCAGCGGGGTCTCGCAGTTGCAGGCGACTGCGCCTCTGTCGCCTCGGGCGCGGGGTTGGAAGGTGTTGCTTTTAAAATTAAAATACAATAACTGCGCGAAGGGGGCGAGGAGAGTCCCGGTTCGCCGTCTGAGGACGGTGGAAGGGGGTGGGGAAGTGGACCAGGAAGAGGAGGGAAGGGGCGGCGGGGGGGCAGGCCGATGCACAGAGGAGAAAATTGGCCAACGCCCCCAACTGTTATCTCATTTCAGATTTGGGTTTTCGAAAAGGAGAGGACAAAAGGGGTGGGTCTGCTCCAGGAGGGTGTGCGCACCAGTCTGGAGGGCCAGGGCGAGGGTTCCTGGGGCTCCTCTCTGCCCTCGGGGGCCCCGCGCGCCTCCCGCCTCACCCGCCCAGATGCCAGGCGCGGGACTGGGATCCTGGAGACTAAGCGAGGCACCGCGGAGCTGCAGAAGGCCGCTGCGGCCCTCTCTGGTCCTGGCTGGCCAAAGCTGCGGAAGCCTGGCTTTCCGGCGCATCCAAGGGGACGCGGCAGGGCTCGGTGACCTGGCTGAGCCCGCTTAGTTCCAGGGGGTCCCGGGGTGGCCACGCAGACCCCACGAGCCGGGAACCCTCGACTCCAGGGCGCTGGTCGCTGAGCGAGGGAAGCTGTGCCCAGCGCTGGACCGCTGTCCCAGAGTCCACCTGGCTACTGAAGCGCAGCTTTCTAGGCTGAGTTGGAAGACCCTGAAATCCCCTAGAAAACAATGCTAAGTGAGACAATGAATGCTAAGACCCGGGCCAAGCAGGGGGTTTGTTTTGCCTGGATTTTCTATGAGTTGCGGTCCAGAAATGATCCCATTCCCTGGAAGCCGCGGCTAGGCAGTGTGTTATGTGTCGTCCCTCCAGCCGCTACCTCCACCCCCAGAGCGGGGCTAAGTTCCGCGCTGGAACACAAAACGTCGCTTTTCTTTGCTTGATTCCCTGGGTTGCCATAGTTCGCGACAGTTGCTGGTCTCTGCGCGTTTAAAGGCTAGCGCAGAGCAGACTCCGCGGCCCTCCCATCTCCGAGCTTTAGATGGCGCCAGCGAGCCGCACTCGCCAAGCTCCTCTTATGGGAATCAAGAGCTACTGTCAAACATAAAAGCAAATCAGAGTTTTCAGTTTTTTTTAATGTGTTAAGAATGTTATTCCTTAAGAAAATTTGTAGCTAAATTATTCTCACTTAAAATAAACACTTAGTATACCAATTACACAAATGGGCGGGATTTATGTGAGATTTACTTCATCTGCATTTTTGTAGTGGAAGAGAGCCTTGGTGAATACAGATAATAGATGCAAATAAGATTAGAGTTAAAATAAATAAAGTTTCCATGTGAATAAAAAGAAATTCAATTTTATACGACTTGTGGCGATTTGATGGAATATCCAGACACGCTGTTCAGGTGTACAATCTAATCTCGTCCAAATAATGTTTTCAACCCTCCTTGAGGAAAGGAATTTTTTTCTATTCCTTTTTCCTCATCAGGTAGGACCCAGTTCATTCCAAGGGGTGGCGGGAGTAACGTCGAAAAAGAAAAGCACTGGGGAGGGTGTGGATTGGGGTGGGTAGGCACCGGACCAGCAAACTTGGTCTTGGTTCTTTTGCTGCGCGGCAGGCTGGAAACAGGAAATCCGTGGAAACCCGCTGAAACGAAATTGCATTTCCCCTAACCCGAGCGGGGGCGGGACTCCAGGCCCCAGATCTCGGCCCGGGCTTCCCATCCACCTCCAGGCCGCAGCCCTCATCCACCGCCCCGGCCCCAGCCTCGGCCTCCGCCTCCTCCTGGCACCGAACCCTAACAGGCCCAAGCCGCGGGGTACGCGGAGGTGGCCCTGGGGAGGCGCAACCACACCCCAGCTGGGGACCCCACTGCCGTTCTCGGGGGTGGATCTGGCCTCGGATGCGTGCTCTTTCCGATTCGCTTGGCTACAGCGGGTCGCCACCCACAGCGGTCAAGGTTCTCCGCGTCCCGGGGATGGATGCCTACTGCTGGTGGGGGGCTTGGAGCGGGTATGTTTCCCCTATGGGTTCTGATAGGGGCTGGAATCCGGCTCGTTCTGGATTCGGCTTGCGTGTGCACGTCCCTCGCTGGACACTGGGGCCTGACTGCCGCCCACGGTTCACCAGAGCCGCAGTGATGGACGTTGGCTGACCCGCGGGGCAGAGGCAGCGCTCAGAGGCCTTGATCACTGGCCTGCGGAGAGAGCCTCTCCGCGAGCGGGACCTGCACAGCCAGGCCCTTTGATCTGCCTTTATTATCAACAAGAAACAAAGCTGCCTGGGACCGCCGCCCCGGCGCCCTCGTTCCTCAGGAGCCCCCCACTACACCCTCCGGCCAGTAGCCCCAGGCACGCGGGGCGCCCTTGGGGCCTGCAGCTTCTCGGCCCAAATTCCCCAGAATAAACGCACCCTGCCAGCTTCTCCCCAGGACCAGATCCAAACCTGAAGGCTCTGGGGGGCGGGCATCCGGGGCGGGGATGTTTGGGCCCGGGAGAGAAAATGACCAAGAGAAAAAGCCAGAAAAAGAGCCGGGCAGCTGGGGCCGCCGGTAGCAAGGGAGGCAGAGGAGGAAGCCACTGAACCTCGTACTGCAGATACCCGGCGGGGTCTCTGCGTTCTGGTTCCACGCCACTTTGCTATTTAGCTTTTCAGAGTAGAGTTTTGTCCACTGCTAATAGCAATAATTTATTCTTTCCTAAGAATCAAAATCTTCATTCAAGTTTCCAAAGACAGGAATAAAAAAAAATTTAAAAAGAGGGAAAAATCTGTTGATGCTGACTTCGCTTGTATTTCTTATTGTGTGAGAAGCCTTTTAGAAATATTTTTATTCTGTAAAGATGTACATAATTCTCCAAACTAACATTTTTTTCGAATTGCGAAATTATCTCATTTACCAATTTTCTTTTCGTCATTCTCTTCCTTCTCCCTCTTTTAAACTGGGGCTGTTAAGTTGTGGTCAGAAGACAAAGAGAGTGAAAATAATTTTCATTTCAATAATTGCCTTCTGGTCAATTTAACTGTGCCTTATTTTGAAAGAGGCTGTCTAAATGAGATTCCTGTCCCAAATGTGTTCCCAGGCCTGATCCCAGCCTTTAATTATTCCTGAGTTTTTTTCTTCAGAATAAGACGCCGCACTGAGTAATCACAAAGAAGTCAGAGAGCATCCTTGAACCTTTTCAGAAGCAGCGCCACTGATATTCAAATAACCTGCGAGGGCCATTTGACGGCGCAGGGACCTAGGCATTTCCAATTCACTATTTGCATAGATCAGCCGTCTTTGAAAAGGAAAGAAGCAGTTGTCTTCCATAACATTAAAAAGCCTAGTTATCAAATCAAGTGCTTAGTTTGGGGCTTTTAAAACGTTTACATTTTATCTCAGGTTGCCCTTTACCGTTTGACATGCAAATTTGGTGCAGTTAATTTAGACAATTAAAAAGATCTTCAAGGGAGCTTTGTCACAGAGAATATTTGGAGTTTTCCCGGTGGACCAGCTGAGATAAAGTTGGCCAGAACAAATGATGTCTAGGAGATTAATTAGATATTTGATAAGACATGAATCCCTAATAAGGGAATACAAGGCACTGGGGGCTGCTGTGTGCTCTAAGTCAAAATTAATAACATTTAACAAGATTTTCATTTAGGCATGAAATGTCTTTTCCGGGGTATTGACTAGCTATTTATTCCCCAGAGATGCCTCCCAACATAGAAGGTCTTGGAAACTAAAGACTTCTTTCTAAAAGGATCTTCCCTTCACAGATTGTTTCAAAATCACTTTTTATAAACAAACTCTCCAGAGTTTTCTCTGTGCCCTCAGGGAGATGTCGGTACCTCCCCAGTTGAAGCAACCAAAGACCTTGCTTTATTTGGGTGATCCAAAGATTTTAAATGTCACCTTTGAGAATCTTCCCATTAAGTAATACAACTACAAGTTCTTATAACCCAATTTAATTTATGCTGTTGATATACAAATAAATAATTTTGACTTCTCAAAAATGTATGTGTTATGGCTTTTATAACCCATATAAACTTCATTACCTACAACTAACAATAAGGGAATTGTTTCCCAAAAAAAAAAAAAAAAAAAAAAAAAAAAAAAAAAAGCTGACTCCACATAAAGGTTATTGGGGGGAAACAGGATTTTTTTTAAAAAGGGGGAGTCTGTTGTTCAGAGTCCTTTAATAATAGCAAAATGAAAATATGATGTCAAGATTTTCTTCATACAGATAAACGCATTTAATTTCTTTAGATGACCTTAACTTACGTGTTTGAGTGAAATGATAACTCAACATTTTAAATATCTTTTACATATATACTGACTTTCACAAAGTGCATCAGAAAATTAAAAAAAAAACTCCCTGAATTTCAGGAATTCACAAAAAAACTATTTGAATGAACATTTACAAGAAAATAAAAGAGAACACAATCCTTTGAACCCTATTTATACAGATGTCATGAAGTACAGAGAAACTGTTGCTAGACTTCCAGTTTAATATCTCACCTTAAGCCTTTTTGATGCTTCCTTTTTTAAGGAAAAAAGTCTCATTGTAAGTAGACATCAAGCAGGACTTGGAGCATTTTATATATAATATAATCCACACAAAGGGTCTGCTTTTATAGGTCTCGTTTGTTTTTGTTCCAAGGTTCTGACAGTCCTTTGCTGAATGGTGGCTAGGTTTTTGTTTTGTTTTTTTGTTTTGTTTTGGGTTTTTTTTTTTTTGTTTTTTGTTTTTTTTCTTTTTTGAGAAAACGACAGAGGATAGAGGGAGTGGGCAGTGAGGGAAGGAGGGTTTCTGTGTATTGCTCTTCGCTGAGAAGTTTGTGCGAGTGCAGTGTGTGTGTGTGTGTGTGTGTCTCTGTGTGTGTGTGTGCGTGTGCGCGCGCGCGCGCGCGCGGATGCGTACTTGCAGTTGAGGGTCTCCGGGGTGTGCGTGTGTCTGTGTGTGCAGTTTTAAAAGTGTGTCGGAGGATGGTGAGCTTTTGTTTCTGGACCACACGTTCGATACTCATCTGGGCGCAATCGGTGGAGGGCAACTCCCAGCGCGGCCCGGGAGCCCGGTGCGGCCCCACCTCGCGCCCAGCCTGGGCTCCGGGGCCCCACTGGAACCCCTGTCCTCCCGTGCGCCCGCTCGCTCGCACTCCGAACCTCTCGCTCGCTCTGGGGGTCTCTACTCGCTTGCTCGCGCCTCTCCGCCAACCTCTAGGAGTCGTTGGGGCCAGTCGCAGCTTCCTTGCCTCCCGCGGAGGCCGCCGCCGCCGCTGCCGCCGCCGCCGCCGCCGCCGCCGCCCGGGCGGCACTGACGCCGGAGTCATGCAGGATGAGGTCGGGGGACTCTGAGCGGGGCGTCTCCAGGTTGCTGGCGTCCGTGTCACTGTCGCTGCCCTTTTTGCCCCCGCCGCCCCCGTTGTGCGTCTTAATGTGTTTGCTCAGGTGGTCGCTACGCATGAAGCGCTTGTTGCACACCGGACAGGCGAAGCGCTTCTCGCCCGTGTGAGTCCGCAGGTGCCGCTGCAGCTCGTCCGATCGCGTGAAGCGCTTGCCGCAGAAGAGCCAATTGCACACGAAGGGCCTCTCCCCCGTGTGCCAGCGCAGGTGCGCCTTCAGGTGCGACGTCTTGCCGTACACCTTGCCGCAGCCAGGGATGTGGCAGCTGTGCAGGCCCTTGCGCCGCAGGCTCGCCCCGGCCGGGCCCAGCCGCTCAGCCTCTTGGCAGTTGGGGCAGTCGCAGGTGGCGCGGCCTGAGTAGCGGCGGGCGGAGCGCGCCGAACTACCCCCGGCGGCAGCTGCCGCGGCGCCCGAGATCATGGCGCTGGCGGCGGCCGCGGCTACCGCGGCACTGGAGTCCGAGTAGGAGGGCAGCACCGGCTTGAAGCCGTCCTGGGCCAGCAGGTGCTGGCTGGTGGAGAGCAGGTGCGAGGCGGCGGCTGCGGAGGAGCCGAGGCCAGTGGAACTGAAGGCCGAATGCGTGAGCGAGCTGAAGTCGGGGTTATAGGTGCCCAGCTGCGAGTGCAGAGAGGCCTGGGGGGCGCCCGAGTGCAGCGAGCTCTGCAGCCCCCCGGCGGGGTTCTGCACCTCCAGCCACGAGCCAGGGCTGCTGTGCACGTCCCACCACGACGACGCCGCGCCATTGGTCACCTCGCCCGCCGCCAGCGTCGAGTGGAAGCCGGACTTGTACCATGACTCGTACGGGTGCGCCATGCCCACGCGCGGGTACAGGCCGTCGGTCGCCGTCGTGTGCACTTTGGAGATGAAGGCCGACTGGCCGCCCGCCTCCTGCGGGGACACCCCGGCAGCAGCTGCCGCCGCCGCCGCGGAGTTGGAGAAGAGGCCGCCATAGTCGCTGCTGAAGGCGGACGACGTGGGCGACGTGGAGGCCAGACAGAAGGCGCTGTTGGCAGCTCCCGAGCCTCCCGCCAGCCCGCCGGAGCCGCGGCCGCCGGTGGCCACAGCGAAACCCGAGAGGCTGGAGCCGAGGTTGCAGCTGGACGAGGAGCGCTTCCAGGGGTGAAAGCCGCCTTTGGCGAAGGCGCTGGACTCCGGCAGCGTAGTCAGTGGGCTGGTGTTGCCGATCTTGTTGCAGGTCGCCGCCAGCATGGCCAACGGGGTCGTTCCGAAGCGCGGCTCTTCCTGGAGTGGGTGGGGTGAGGGAGGGAGCAAGGAGGAGGAGGGCAGGAGGAAGTGGGGGAAGACACAAAGTGCACCCGTGAGCAGCTCGTTCCCCCGCGCGGGTCCCCGGGGGCCCTGGCACCCCGGCTCGCGCCTCCTCCCCACGCTCTCGGGCGGGACGCGCCGCGCCCGGCTGCGGGCAGAGGCAATCACCAGCGTGGAGGTCCGTACGCTGCAAAGTTGTTCTTCGGTGAGACTACAAATCAAAGATGCCTGGGTTGTCTCCGCCTGGATCGCTGCAACTCTAGCCCAGAAGCGGACTAGGATTGTCACCAGAACCCCGCTCTTCTCCCAGAAGCCCCTAAGTCGCCCTTCCGGGTGAAGCGCGAAGGTAAACAGACAGCAAACACCCGATGAGGGCGGAGGTGTAGCGGAAAAGGCGGCCCGGAGATGGGGAAACTTGGATTACTCCCCTCACGAGTGGCTACGACTTGGCTATTTTCTTTCTTAGCTCAAAAAACGTGGTTTTAATATTTACACACACAGCGAATGCAAAAATAATCCGAGTATAAGCTGCCCAGTGACGGCTTTCAAAGTCAAAGGCGAACTGGGGAGCCGCGCAAATGTAAATGTTTATTAACGCGACTGCATGACCTGCAAAACGATTAAACGGCACTGTCGTGTGACTGCAACAAGGGGGGATGGGGTCAAACCAAGAAGGCAGGAAAAGAAACCTTCGGCTTGTCTTTACGCCAAATAAAAAGGAGCTTGCTTAAAACGTCCTTTTCTTGCAAAGGCAAACCCCTAGGTTTCAACAACTTGGTTAGGCTCAGTCCCGGAAGTATAGAAAACGCTAAAAAGAACCTAAAGCTGCAGTTCAGCAGGAGTTTCTAGGGAGCCGCGGACCCAGAGAAGCCTTAAGAAAAAAAACCTAAAAAAAAAAAAAAAAAAAAAAAGACTCCAGTTAAAACCAGCAAAGGCATGGCAGCGCTTTTGACTTACCCCGAGTATAGACGTGGCCATAGCAGGTCTCTGGGCTTCGCGGCGGGGCTGGGAGCGGTGTGAAGCCTGGCGGCTGCTCTCCAAAACTGCTTGGGTCCCGCACGGCTCCCGGGTCCCGCGCTCGCGCCGAGCGGACTCTGGGCTCCCGCCGGCAAAACTCAGCCTAAGTGCGAGGAGCACCCGCTTTGAAGTGCCGCTGGCTGCGCCTCTCGCCCAATGAGGGCGCAGGCAGAGCAGACGGGAGCTGCCCCGCAGCCAATCAGACGCGCCGAGGGGCCCGGGCCCGGGCTCCCGGCGCGTGCCAGTCAAGTCTGCGAGCGAGGGTGGGAGGGGTGGGGGCTGGGGACAGAAGAAATTACAGTGCAATTAAAAATTTACACACACTCACGCACCAAGCCAGGTTTAAGTACCGTTGAGACCGAGCAGCAAGCCGCCCCCCTCCCCAGCTACCTCAAGATGTTGCAAGTTAGGCCTGACGGTCTTCACTCCCCACTTGTGGAAAAGAAGCGAGAGGGGTGGGGAGGGCCCAAGTGGAAAGGGAAATGTCAACGCTCACTGTGTGTCCAGGTTTTTGCCTGGGGAAAACAACTTGAGCTTGTATGCTTCCTTTTCGCAGTGGATGTTAGCATTGTCGTTCTTCCACCTAGTTTCTTATTCCCACTGTATTCAGTTCGACTCTCGGGGTCCTATAGAGGAAGGGACACTGAGAACAGCTTCTCCCAGAGGAAATGGGCCTCTCCTAACTGTTCTACACTCACAGACTTGCTGGGAGGGACCGGATCCTGCAGCATCCCACCACCCTCCCCCCTCCCCCGACCAGCAGTCTAAGTGACTTCCTAATTGTCGCTCTGGCCTCTGACCCAGGGGGTAATACAAGTGCCACTCACGCCAGAAGCTTCTGGTGGTAATTGAGGGCACCCTTTGTATGGCCTCTCCAGCGCCTGGATACCAGGTTAACCCAGTTGTCAAATATGACTAAACAGTGGGACGTGCTGATTATCTGCCAGGTTTTGCTGGGGGCTGGCGTGGGGGTGGGAAGCATCAGCCTATACAACACGCTGCACGAAGCCGCTTATTTCCACATTGTAATAACTTTGGAAACGGAGACCGTCACAAGCAGCGTCCGCCCCCACCGCCACCCCCGCTGAAGCTGCAGCTTGCTCGACTGTTTGTTTAACCCGGCGGAAATTTGCATGTCGCATTTCAGCCTGGAGTCGAGTTTTAAGGGATGTTTCTAGACTCATTTTTCTTGCCCCAGCTTCAACCTATCCCCACTGCAGAGCGCCAGGGCCTAGAAGCTCTGCCCGCTGGGCTAGCGTGTTCAGAGGAGGCTTGGGCTCAGCGGGCGCCCGGCTGTCGCAGACCTGCAGAAGACCTCTCCTAGACCTGCACTGGTGAGTCCCTAAGAGCTAGGCCACACGTGGGCGCCTCCGCCTTCTGCAGGCTAGAAGCATCCTGAAGTCCTCCGTGGTCCTTGGTGTGAAAAGAAGTGTCCTCACACACACAAGGGCTCGTGCTTTAGCGTTTCTCGCCTTTCCGGGCTCCACTTTCTCTTTCTTCTCCAGGATAGCCAGAGGCTGCTTTTGAACTAGAAATACCAGCGCCCTGAGGCAGGTCTGGGTACTGTAAAACATGCAGTACATTCTCCTCCAAACCCACATCCTGACTTTAATAATAATAGCAATAACCAACTCCAAATGCTCAGGTGCAAAAGACAAGTTGTCTGGGAAGGGGGTCAAGTGAGAAGGGTGTGGGACTGTGCTCCCAGTCTTTTCTGCTCTTGTAAGATCTCTAGGCCCCAAAGACCACAGTACCACACTTCTCTCCGACCCTAAGAAGCAAGATGGTGTCTTTGCGTGCTCTTCTGGATAGGGAGGGCTATGTGGGTCACTTTCTTTGATTTTCACTAGAATGCCACCCCCCCTCAACGCTAAAGCGTGGCAAAAGCACAGAGGAAATGATTGCGGAGAAAGGGAAAACAGGAAAGAGAAGACCTGAGCAGCTATAAATGAAGCTCTGTATCCTAGGGGACTGTGTTAGAAATCTGGGGGGAGACCCCCTAGGTGGTGCAGGATGGAAGGTGGGGGAAGATCAGGCTGCTTGGCAGAGCCAGAAAGCCAGGCGGGGGTGGGGGGGCCACTGAGGAGCCGTTCCCAACAGGTGACTTCTGCCCTGGAAGGGCAGACTAGTCTTCAGCTTCCTGTAGCGTCTCCGCTTGGATTTACTAATAGTGGGATTGTTAAGTGGCAGCGAGGTGTTTCCGACTCACCCTGTGCAACCCCGGGAGGAAAAGGGCCGAGGTTTCCTCAGTCCTCCTCCAACTCCTCCTCCTCCTCCTCCTCCTCCTCCTCCTCGTCCTCCTCCTCCTCCCTCCCTCCCTCCCAACCCCCCAACACATCCCCTCCGTAAGGAAATCTGACAAAGTAATAAATAAGACAATCCGAAAAGCCACTTAGCACTGGTAACATTTTCAAACCAACCATTTAAAACTGTTCTCGCAAGGCACCTCGGGTTCGCGGCGCCCAGCTCAGTCTCCCTCTCCTCCTCCAGCAGCCCCCTCCCCCTCCCGCTGTTTCCCACGTATTTCCAGCTGTCAGACGTGGGCACTCGAGTATTCCTAGGGTCCTCGGGTCCTCATCACAATAAAAGTTAGGGAAATCTTCCAAAGGAACTCAGGCAAACATCCCGGGCCAGTTCAAGTCCTAACGTGGGGCCCAAAGGAAATCTTTCGGAAGAAGTCCAGTTTTTTTTTTTTTTTTCTTCCGTCTGACAGATTTTTTCATCTTCTAAAAATTCTAGTTTTTAAACAAAGATCAATGTGTTATGCTAAAGTGTTGAGCTGACTGTTAAAACATTTGGGGAAATAATGACAATGTAACAAAGGCCTGGTTTGGAGTGAATCATCACCCTTTTAAAAGTTAAAGCAATTTTCAGGAGAATAGCTTTCAGCAAACGCTTTACATTATTCAAAACGGCCAAATAATGCTCTATTATAGCGCCTGAATGCTGCCAGTCAGCCCCTAAGTGCAATTTGTGCAAAGGCCCCGGTGCCTTATCTCCACTTCTTTATAAAGAGGTGAATATAAAACAATTTCTTCCAAACCCAGACAGAGAGCACGAAAATTGCTTCCCTTTCTGCAATCAGGGCAATTTAACTGGAGTGCAATTAGCACTATTAAATGTCGATTCTGCATAAACAAATCTGACTGAGCAGAGAAAGTGGGGTGAGAACCTCATATACACTGAAACTGATTTTTTAAAATTATGTATCCGGGTCCTTTACAATTGATCCGTGACGTTTTCTTGGAATATATTTACATCGTAAATACACTATGGTTAAATCAACATCATTTTTTGCAAAAAAAAAAAAAAATTCAATACGAATCCCAATAAAGAAGAATAGGGTAATTAAAGGGAAGAGTTCACTTCCTTTGAACAATATTGTCTCCCCCATCTTGTAGCTCCCGTAGGCTTTGATCTGAGCAACTCTCAAGTTTGCGGTGTTTAGGAGGCAAAGCAACGGAAACAATTCTATCCTTGGCACTGATCTCTGATGTCAGGAAGGATTGGAGCTCCTACGCCACAGATAAAGCGCTTCTCTCTGATACACGAAGTAGGGTGTCCAATCCAGCTATTTTCTGAACTCCTCGCTACTGTAGCTGGGTAAATATTAGGTAGCTGCCCAGTCGTGTCTCCCCTCCCCTTCGCCCCCCGCAGCGTTAACCAGGCAGTTGAACAGCGCTGTTCATCACTGGGGTGGGGTGAGGTGTTAGTTGGAGACTCAGGATATGGGCGAGAGGGGAGGCGTTTGGAAAGGAGGAACCGAAGGTTCTCGAATTGGCGGGCTGGTTTCAGAAGAAGCCAGGGCCACTAGAACCAGGATCGGGAGGGAGGGAGCGGGGGCGGGGTTAGTAAAAGGGAAAGGAACCCATAAAAGCATTTGTCTGACCTGTCCTCCCACCTGCCTTTATTTATTTGCTAAGTCACAGAGCTCCCTTTTTGAATCATTTGTGCAATTAATTATGCTTTTCATTTGCATGCTGTACACTAGAGCAGTGATTATCAGGTCAGCACCGTGTGGGAGTTGGGGAGAAACATAATAACTTCAATTTTAAGAAAAAAATTAAATCTGCATGTGTACCGTTGTTGCCTGCCTTGAGCAAGGGGGAAGTAAGCCCAGGACAACCCTTAGAGCCTGTTGAGTCGAGTGAATCCTTTCCGCAGTTGGAGTTTGTCAGTGTGAGTGAAAATGAAATGCAGCCTTTGATTAGACCCGGATCTTCTAGTTAACATGTATTTATATCTTTAAAAGCACCAGCATTGAGATCAAATGGATCAAGAAAATTAATTGAAAATTGAGAAACTCTCCCACAATTTCTGTTGAGCTTTCATTTAATATTTGTTCTATAATGCCCTCTCTCATTTTAGCCCAAACTTTGCAAATAAAAGAGCCAGGAAGAATCAATAGGCCAATGAGACTTTCATCCTTTTTTCCTTCTATTTCAGAGGTATCACTTCTATTTAGAGGTACTAGAAGATGCAAATCTTACTGGCCTCTATAAGGCCTGCTTGAGAAATTGAAAGTCCCTGGTCTATCAAGTACAATCCAAATGTTTGCTGCACGACTAATTTCTGCTGCTAGATGTATCTGGGCCATATATTTTAAGCTTGCCTTGATCTGTTTATCTGAGCCAAAAATGTATTAACAATTAAAGGAAAGACTGGTGTGTCAAAGGAAGGAAGGTGACTGTAGACTGTGTGATGATTTTAATGACTGCAATTATTGGAAGATTATTCAACAATCATCATAGGTTTGTTTACTGCATCACTAGGAAACTATGGGGGGCCGCCACTTTGGCTTGGGGTTATACTTTCCTCCCTTCCTCTCCAGCCACCATGAAGGGGTCTCAGACCTAAGGTAAATGACCTCCAGTGTCAGTTTTCTTCCTTTTAAGAGAAGCTCTACCAAAATTGTGCACATGGATTGTCTCAGCCAACTCAAATAGAACCATCCTTGGAAATATAATCTTTGCATATGATTCTTAAGCTAGTATCAAGAAAATCCAGAGGCCACTAGTCATCTTTTCTTGGCCAGGGTACCAACTTCCTCAGCTTTGTCGTTTCATAAGCAGCATAAGGCTTCCAATCTCCAACTTTTTCCTCCTTTATCCAAGGCTCACAGAAGGCACTATAACTGTAAGATATCAAGGTAATTTTGAAGCATACCTCCAGAATTCCCCTAGAAAAAAATTGCCTTTTTTCTTCCTTCCCTCTAACAACACGTCCTTCATATTATTTCCTATTTACACTGTTAAAAATGAGTAAAGAAAAACATATGACTAAGAGCATACTGGTTTGTGGCTAACCAAATTTTTAATATAACCACAAATGCAGGACATATAAATAAGGAAGGTTTCTGATATTAACAACATGTGTCTACATAGTGAGTTCTAGGTTAGCTGCTGCTACAGGGAGACCCTATCTCAAAACCAAACCAAACCAAACCAAAACAAAACTAAACTAAACTAAAAACCAGAAGTGAATCTGGGGACAGGAGAGGAATAGCAAGTATCTATCTTCTCTGGGCAAGGAAGCTGGAGTGAGAGGGCCATCCTGGTGGTCTTCCTGGGCTCTGAAATTGGCAGCTTTGGCTTAAGGTGGACTGAGCTGGCATTGAGAACCTTCCCTATTCAAATGTGAGCCTGCAGGCTTCTGCAAATGGCAATTAGGAACCCATTACAAGCCATTAGATTGATCAATGTACCTTAAACAATGTGAGTGATTTATATGGCTTATTTATAAGGGGAAAAAGAAAGAGGTGGGGAAGATGCCTCCATATTCTTTATATCCATGCTGTGGAGAAATAGGGGACCCAGACTCTGCTCATCACAGCTTAGAACCACCAGAGCAATTTAGAAAACTTTTCAAGCAAAGACAGAGGTTCCTCAGCTCTTCAGGTGGGTGGTGAGATGCATATTCTTTGCCTGTTTCTTCTTTCTAAGGAGGAGCTGAAGACTTCTGCCATACAGACTAGCAGAGGGTCACAGATACCGCCACTCGGTTAGAGGAGGACATTGCCAGCAGAGGTCCCAGCTGCCTCCCTTCCTTGGATCCTTCCTGGAAGGATGACTACACGTTTGTTTAACTGAGTGATGGCTTCCTAATTACTGCAGGAACGCACAACCATTAGCCCTTGAAGTTTCAGGAGAGATTGGGGAGGAGCAGCGGCCGGGCCTGGGAGGGAGGTGCCGCGGGGGTGGGGAGAGGGGAGTGGGGGGTGACGGGGTGAGGAGGGAGGGGACTCTGCGGAACTCATTAGGGCTGACTCTTTCAGCTAATCTATGCGGTGCAGACAAAATTACAACAGAGCTGAAGCGATCAAAGCTGCCCTCCCCATCCTGGTCCAAAATCTGTTTGTAGTCGTCTCCTCCAGGCTGCAGACACTCGTCGGTTTCTCACGACAGGAAAACTCCTGCCTGTTTTTTTCCAGAGCCTGAAAGGAGTGGACAGACGCATTTCACCGGTCCCAAAGGAGGACTCCCTTTGTCTACCTCCTCCAGCTTCCACCGCCTTCAGTTCTGCAATGGCAGGGTTGGCCAGGGGCTGGAAAGACCCTAGGCCTGAAGGTCTGGATTATGGCAGAACCCCTACAGGTCCAATTCCACCCCTTCTGGTCCTCCCTTCCTCTGCTTCCCTTTCTCTCT